TGAACGGAACAATGTCAGTAGTTAAATTGCTTTTAACCATTTAAATTTTTATTTAACAAGTCACCAGTATAATGGGGAAAAATTAAAGGAGACAACCTACAAAGACATCAACAGATCTGTCGTCTTTATTCAAAAATAATTAATTAAACTGAAACATCAAAATTATTATTTATAGAAAATGACCACTAAGGCACTAATCAACATTAGTACTTTTTTGCATTATTCTGATGCCTAACTTACTACTAATCACACCCAAATCTATCAATTTTTCCTATTTGCCAACCTTAAATCATGCGTGTATGTAAGTAGAAAACAAAAGGATGTGACTAAATATTATTTAATATACGTTTGTCTCCTGTGTTTGTATATATGATTATTTGTTAATGTCTCACTAAAACATTCATCCACATAACATAAGTGAAAAATTGATATAGTATATTTTTTTTAGCAAAAGCCGAAGTTAAATAAGGAGGAGGTGTGGTGGATAGCAATATTTTTCTTTTACCAATAGAACATATTATAGCCCATCTAAGAAAACGATAATACATTTTATACTAAGCAAAATAAGTTGAAACAAGCTTTGGTCGTTTTTATCATTGCAAAGACGTTATTTTTTTTACGTGGACATCTAATTTATCAAACAAATTTTATTTCTATCATATAAGTGGGCGATCTATGATCTTTTGTACTCATTGTCATTTGGACAATTAATTATTTCCATTACTTGATTGGTCACAAAAATAGAAGACTATTATTGCATTAAGAAAGCAAAGAGAATCTTCCAAAAAAAATTATAGAGAACAAATAAAGCAAACTGCAAAAAAGAAAAGAAGACAAAAGTGTTTTTTTTTTGGGCAAAACAAAAAAGTGTTTCTTTAATAAGAAAAACAATAGACTTTTTTTAAGAACAGTGAAGAAGAGCAGAACAAAGAGAAATGGAGAAAATAATCTTTTAGGCACTCTCTCTCTGGCAGATTCGCACTCAAACTCACACTCACTACCATTACTCCAAAAAAGTGAGCTTTTTTTTCCTTCTTCTGATCATCTTCTTTGCATCTCCTGGGTTTCTCGCTACTTTTCTTCTTTCTTCTGTAACTGACGAATCTGATGAACTTTCTGTAACCGAAAGTTTTGTTTTTTTTTATTTCCTCGAGCTTTGTGTTCTCATATTAATTGTATCAGTGTAACCTGTAGCGTGGCTTTGTTAAAAAAAATTTTTGATAAAAATTTCTGATTACAGGACATGATTCTGACTACTTGAAACTATATCTATGACGCATTTTGATTTTTCTTTTTTTGCTGTGGCATTTTTCTCCTTGTTTCTTGTTCCCGTATGGTTGTTTTATGCATATAAGCTGTTCGAGGTTTTGTGAAATTTCTTCTTCTGATTTCAGGTGTAACCTCTACTATATTACCCTTCAGGCCTTCACTATGTATCTTCTATATGAAATAATCTTCTTTAATTTGGGTTTTAGGTCTGAGATCTGCTGATGCTGCTCGTTTAGAGTTCCGATTCCATTTTCTAGTGTTACTGATACTCGGTGATCTGTTCTCATTTTTTTGGGTTAAAATAGAAACCTTTACCTGAGATTTTGGTTTCTCTTGATGTTTGAAATTAATGATTGTTGATCCAAAGTTTTGATATTTGATGTGTTCATGTGTTAATCAGACGAATTAATGATCAGACAGATCTTCTTTTCTATGTGTTCTTGTGTTAATCAGATGATAAAGATTTGATCTTTTCTATGTGTTGTTTCTGTTGCAGGCATTGCACCTCATTCACTGTAAAACCCCAAGAGATATGGTATCAAGATCTTATTCCAACCTCTTGGATCTTGCTTCTGGAAATTTCCATTCGTTTTCTCGGGAAAAGAAGAGGTTTCCAAGAGTATCAACTGTCACTGGCGTCTTATCTGAGCTAGATGATGATAACAACAGCAACAGTGTCTGCTCTGATGCTCCTTCTTCCGTCACGCAAGATCGGATCATCATCGTTGGAAACCAACTTCCTATTAAATCCCATCGAAACTCGGCGGGTAAATTGATTTTCAGTTGGGACAACGACTCGCTTCTCTTACAGCTTAAAGACGGTATGCGTGAAGACATGGAAGTTGTCTACATTGGTTGTCTTAAAGAGCAAATCGATGTAGTCGAGCAAGACGATGTTTCTCAGAGATTACTTGAGAATTTCAAATGTGTTCCTGCTTATATCTCACCTGAGCTTTTCTCCAAATACTATCATGGATTCTGTAAGCAACATCTCTGGCCTTTGTTTCACTACATGCTTCCCTTAACGCCTGATCTTGGAGGTAGATTTGATCGTTCGTTATGGCAAGCTTACCTTTCGGTTAACAAGATCTTTGCTGATAAAGTAATGGAAGTGATTAGTCCTGATGATGATTTTGTTTGGGTTCATGACTATCACTTGATGGTTTTGCCTACATTCTTAAGGAAGAGGTTTAACAGAGTAAAGCTCGGTTTTTTCCTTCATAGCCCGTTCCCTTCTTCCGAGATCTACCGTACTCTTCCAGTGCGAAACGAGCTCTTACGCGCACTCCTCAACGCGGATTTGATTGGGTTTCATACTTTTGACTATGCAAGACACTTCCTTTCTTGCTGCAGCAGGATGCTTGGTTTATCTTATCAGTCCAAAAGAGGAACCATAGGGCTCGAGTATTATGGTCGAACTGTTAGTATCAAGATTCTTCCTGTTGGGATTCATACCAGCCAGCTTCAGTCAATTCTGAACCTCCCAGAGACTCAGACCAAAGTTGCTGAGCTTAGAGATCAGTTCTTGGATCAGAAGGTTCTTCTTGGTGTCGATGACATGGACATATTCAAAGGAATCAGCCTCAAACTCTTGGCAATGGAACAACTTCTCCAACAACATCCCGACAAGAGAGGTCGAGTTGTGCTTGTCCAGATCGCAAACCCTGCAAGAGGCCGTGGAAAAGACGTTCAGGAGGTACAGTCTGAGACTGAAGCCACGGTTAAAAGGATCAACGAAATGTTTGGAAGGCCAGGCTACCAACCTGTTGTTCTGATTGATAAACCGCTTCAGTTCTTTGAGAGGATTGCTTACTATGTGATCGCAGAGTGTTGTCTTGTTACAGCGGTAAGAGACGGTATGAATCTTATACCTTACGAGTATATAATCTGTAGACAAGGCAATCCGAAACTCAACGAGACAATAGGCATTGACCCTTGTGCTGCAAAGAAGAGTATGCTCGTTGTTTCTGAGTTTATTGGATGTTCTCCTTCACTAAGCGGCGCCATTAGAGTGAATCCGTGGAACATCGATGCAGTGACTGAAGCAATGGACTATGCGTTGATAGTTCCAGAAGCAGAGAAGCAGATGCGTCACGAGAAGCATCACAAGTACGTGAGCACACATGATGTTGCGTATTGGGCACGCAGCTTTATACAGGATCTTGAAAGGGCCTGCGGGGATCATGTGAGGAAGAGGTGTTGGGGGATAGGTTTCGGGTTAGGGTTTCGAGTTGTGGCGCTTGATCCGAGCTTTAAAAAGCTTTCGATTGAGCACATTGTCTCAGCTTATACGAGGACCAAGAACCGAGCCATTCTTTTGGATTATGATGGCACAATGGTGCAGCCAGGGTCCCTTAGGACAACACCAAGCCGTGAAACGATTGAAACCTTGAACAAGCTGTCAAGTGATCCTAATAACATCGTGTTTCTCGTCAGCGGGAAAGACAGAAAGACGCTAACCGAATGGTTTTCTTCATGTGATGATCTTGGATTGGCCGCAGAGCACGGTTACTTTATAAGGTAACACTTTGTTTTCATTTCTTCTTGAGTTTCATCGAGATTACTTCAAAAAGATCAATCTTTGGAATATAAAGTTACAATCTTTAATTTGGGGATGCTTTCGTATCTGCATGAGTTAGTAAGAGCACTTGAAAAAGAAAAAAAAATACAGATCTTTTGGATAATAAAGTTATGGTTATTGCACACGGAGGCTGGTTTCATATCTTCTTTTTTTTTGGTATGATATTATTTTGTGGATAATGGGGACAGGCCAAATGATGGAACAGACTGGGAAACATCGAGTTTGGTGTCGGCTTTTGAGTGGAAACAAATAGCAGAGCCAGTGATGAGACTCTACACTGAGACTACAGATGGATCAACAATAGAGACTAAAGAGACTGCTCTCGTTTGGAACTACCAATTTGCAGATCCTGATTTTGGATCTTGTCAAGCCAAAGAGCTTATGGAACACCTCGAAAGTGTGCTCACGAATGATCCAGTCTCTGTCAAAACTGGACAACAACTCGTTGAAGTTAAACCACAGGTCAGTTACCAAAAAGTTTTAGTTTTTATTGTCTGTTTTCTCTTTTTTCAAATAGTCTCAGCCTCTCAGGGTTTTCTGTTTATAAATAAAACAGGGTGTGAACAAAGGTCTTGTGGCAGAGAGGCTTCTAACGACGATGCAAGAAAAAGGAAAGCTTTTGGATTTCATTCTTTGCGTCGGCGATGATCGGTCTGATGAGGATATGTTTGAGGTGATAATGGGTGCAAAAGATGGTCCGGCTTTATCTCCTGTGGCTGAGATATTCGCTTGCACCGTTGGACAAAAGCCAAGCAAAGCTAAATACTATTTAGACGATACGGCGGAGATAATCAGGATGCTTGAAGGTCTAGCCGCCACCACCGCAACTATTTCCGATCAAACCGCTTCCACCGCTTCTGTTCCCAAGAAACATCTTTTTTAAAGGATTTGTGAAAGGAAAAGTTTTAATGGGTTTGTTGTTTTTGTGACTTGTGAATGGTTTTCAGTTTAGGAATTGGCTTCTTTTTTTTTTACAAATTTTTATAATGGATTAAAGGTAAGCAAATCTACTTGTGTCATCATATACATATATAAATATGAATCCACTTATATCAGTTTAGGTGTTAATAAATAGAACTAATTAATAGTTTTGACACTAGAAAAGTAGACTACTAGAGAGGTAACCAAACTACTTTGTGTCATCACGCCTTTAAAACCAAATAGAACCAACTACTACTAGAGTGGTTAAGAGAAGATCTATGATCTTAAATTCATTACCTTTAGAAAGCAAGCGGCATTTGGATGTTGTGCGCGGATGAGGAAACAAAAGGGTTGATGACAAACGAAGTGGAGCCAAATTTTCCAAGAAAGGAGATATAACACAAGTGTCCGAGGAGAGACAACGAATCTTATCTGTCCTTGGGTAATGCTTGAAAAGCCTCTTGTGATTGTCAAAGAAAACAAGACCCTCTTGCTTAGAAACCATAACCGGCGTGAACCACCTTCTCTGATTTTCCCTAGGAACACCTTTACCGGCTAAATGTATGGAGTAAGTCTTGCTCCATCTTTCTTCTTCTACTATATCCATACTCCATATCTCTAGTTTCCATTGTGGGCTAGTATAAGTAATGGCTACGGTCAGGCGGTTCTCAAGATTCGATATCTCGGTTTCTTGCGTGACACTCGTCTCCGGAACCGTGACATAATGGAACTCTTCTTTGTGAAGATCCAAGGCTAGTATTTTGTAACCAGTCCCAAAGTTTTGTAGCCAGTAGATCGATCCATTCACACTCACTGATTTTCTTCCCGCATTGACCTTGTAAGGAGGTGGAGTACTCAACAACCACCATTCACCAGTTTCAACATCAAGAACACTACACTCCACCACAGGATGTCCACGTAGCCCTATTTCCATCTTCACTACTTTATAGCTCCCTGTAACTTTGTCCCTACCGAATCCCATTGTCCGATTTTCCAGAGGGAAAGCGCACGACCATGGTTGGATTCCATAACCGAATCGCCTGAGTTGTCTTGTCCAAGGGTTCAAAACGTTGATCCAATCTTGTTCGGGGATGCAGACCAAACCGTCGCAAGTCATCGAGGGTCTTTTGGTGTCGCAGTGTAGATAGACTATCTCTTCGTCTCCATTGAGCTGCGACTCGGGGAGGAGCCTTGGCGGGCCGCCACAGTCGCAGTTGTAAGCAGCCAGGATTTTCTGGCTCTTTTGAAGACTCATACGTCTGTCCACGAACTTCTTCGATTCCAGAATTGATCTCCATCGTTTTGAGAGGGTTTTGGATTTGAGGATGGACTTCAAAGGCAGTCGAAGGAAAATTTCTTGCAGTAGATCATCAACTATGTAGATCGAGTTAGGGTTTTTCTCTTCTTCCCTCATTTTCTTTCTTTTATAAATATTATATGTCTCTATCTATATAATCTTAAGTTATAATAATCAACCAATAAAAAAACAGCCTTGTGTTAGGAGAGATTGAGTTAAAACAAAAATCATTAGGAAAGGTAATGTTTGTATATATATATTTTTTCCCTTAGATAGGTTTGTTCTTCTTATATTTCTTGATAATAACTTGTGGATCAAGTTATGACTTTGTATAGTTCTTAATCAATATCCCTTTGATTATATTTAAAGACATAATATGTACTCAAATTTAAATTAATGTTCCTCAATATGTATATAAACAAAATCATATCATAAGATGATAAGAATGTGATTACAATGTGTTTCTTTACACTACTGTCAAAAAACAAACCAAATAGAAGAAATACAAACACTCCTTTATAAGAAAACGAATACAACCATATCAATCATATTTAACCAAAAAATACAAACATATAAATCAATAATTATATTACAAAAAAATTAATAATATTAACCGAACATTTTTGTGTATGATTTTTTCTTTGAAACTATGCGTCTACGACTCGAACAAAATCCAGTTCTACCACGGGCCGGGTGACGATGTGGGCGACGTTAAGCTGCAGATTAAATAGTAATACTATGTTAATAGATTTTTTTTTTTAATTTGAGAACGTATATTTTGTTACCATATATAAATATACATTAAAAATAAATGTGGAGAAAAAATCTTACTCTAAGAAACTTTTCCAGCAAGAATCACTTGTTTCATCATCAAGGAACTTCTCCCAGTCCCCTAGGACATCTGAACCGGAGGAGTGTTGAGTCGTACCGGGATGGTTCAAATCGGATGTCTCAGGAGTAACCGATACCGAACCAGAAGTTGGAATTTGATCACTATGATAACCATGTTTTGATGATTTCATATCCTCCTGAGAAACCGTAACCAAACCAGGAAGCTGGTTATCTTTAAAACCATCCCAATTATCTTCAAACGATGGCATGAAATCCTCATTTGTACTTTGGTTTATGAAAACGTGCGGATCAATAGCATTCAATTGTCCAGCCACCGGGTCCGGTTTAGGATTCACTAAATTGGTATTGAAGCTACTGACTACCGGTTCTGGTTTAAGATTCACTAAATTGGTATTGAAGCTACTGGCTACCGGTTCTGGTTTAGGATTCAATGGATTGGTATTAGAGTTACTGATATTTGGAATGGCTTTGGGGGTTATGATTTGAAGCATTTTATGGATCAATTGGAGTTTGAGAAGATCTTCCAAAGCAGTGTTGTTGTTGAAGAGGTTACTGTTACCAAACTGGCCATTGCTAATTGCTGCCTCGAGCATTTGAGTAACGTCGAGGATAGGATTGAGATCGTTGGTTCTTGGCTCGTGCGTGGTTGGATCAATCCCCATTTGCAACAACTTCTTCCTCATATGAGTGTTCCAATAGTTTTTTATTTCGTTATCAGTTCTTCCTGGAAGATGACTCGCAATCTTGGACCATCTGTAAAACAAAAATTCAATTCTATCGTCAAAAAAAAAAAAAAATAACCAAAGCTTAACATTTTTCATGGTTCAACGGTTAAGACTAGTCTAGAAAATATGGACCCTATATTAGCAACAATATACTATATCTGGTATGATCCAAGGAAAATACATTATGTATATTTTTCTAAATAAACCCACAACTTTAAGTACCTTAAGGATAAATTAAATGTTCCAAGATATTTCATGCTAAATTAAATTTTTATTCACAAAAAAAAAAAAGTCTCTTACTTGTTGCCAAGAAGGGCATGTAGTCTAACGATAGTACTCTCTTCTTCATCGGAGAACTGGCCTCGCCGGATATCAGGACGGAGATAATTCATCCACCGGAGCCGACAGCTCTTGCCGCAGCGGTTAAGTCCAGCGAGCTTAGGAAGCGACCGCCAATTTCCATTACCGTTCTTATTTATATAAGCCGTGAGCTTATCATCTTCTTCGGGCATCCACGGTCCTTTCTTCACGCCTTTGTCTTGATCGCAACATGGTGACCTTCCCATTTTGTTTATATGTATCTTCTTAAGAACCCTATTTTTTTCAAAGATTTATTGAAAATATTTGATATTCTTTCTTTCGTAGCTCTCTACGCTCTAGTTTGTATGCATATATATAATAAATGTATGCAAAGGAGCCATGTCGTGACTAAACTAAAGCAAAGTTGTATGCATTCGTCAGAATTTTATGTAAAATATTATTTTTCATTGTGTGAAAGTCTACAATATATGAGTCATTCAATAAATAAGTTAGATAACCAAAATAATTTATAACAAAATCAATATTAGGTGATGAATATGATATGTGTCATGGCATTCGCAGAGTAATTCGTGGGGAGGATGTTCAAAGAAAGAATTTTTTTTTTATGAAAGCATAAGAACAGTGTATATTAGTTAATGTATATTTCGTTTTGTGGGTTAGATGTATGTATAAGATATATGCCCTAGCTATCAAGTTATTTCCTTATATATAAAACATCTAGCTGAATTTGTCACGTACTTTACTTGTAGATACAATAGCAAAGTATAGTAGATTAGTAGTATGATTTCATAAGATTTAAACCTCACATTTCAAGATTATGATGATTTTGAATATTTTTCATATATATGTTTCTGTATGGTTAAAACTTATGATAAAAAGTTTGCTTAAATGCATAAAAATAAACTAAAATAGTTAACTACTTTTCTTGAAGGGTATTATTTTCTTTTTTATTTAATTGAATTATATGTTAAATCATGCTCTCATAGCAATCTTCATCAAAATTGGAATCTAGTATTTACCATTATGTGATTGCTTCCACCGCATTCAAAGAAGTCTCTACCTGCTTCAATGTCTCATCTATGGTTGATCGAAGCCTACTCGTTCTCTTCCTCTTCCTCCATTTGAATTCAAACGAAGATTATTCTTCTCCTCGTCATATAACAACCATAACCACTCCTAATTTCTATGCATGATAGCAAAAACAATTTTGACTGAAATGTAAACTTATATCTTAGCTTAAACCAATATAAAATAGTTTATACATAGCCATCACGTAAATTCCACACTCCCAAAAACCAAAAACAAAATACATTCAACGAAAACGATTTTTAGCTTTATTTAAGATGATTTAATGGACTATCATCATTTAGATTTTTTTGTTTTGTTTTGTATTTTTTGTTCCGTAAATATTAAATTCATGAAACTGCCTTCAAATACATGTTCTCTCAATCTCTACTTTTTGAGGTATGTATACATACTGATAATAACTTCAGTCAAGATTGTCAATTAATGCCTTAATGGACTATCATCATTTATTTTTTGTTTGTTTGTTTGTTTTATTTTATTTTCTTTGTTACGTAAATATACAAATTTATGAAACTACCATCAAGTATATGTATATAGATCGGAGATAATTTCGAGAATAAGATGTGATTTTTACCGATTAATTGTGGATTAATTAATTCCAACTATAACGTGAAGTTCATAACGGAAAAAAGGTTTCTAGCTCTCGATATATTTTATTCATATGTTATAATTGGATCATAAAACTTTACATTATGTGGTCTCATCACTATACATATGTATGTTATAATCTTATATTAAGCAACCAACTCACTAATACAATTCAATAATATTATAAAAGTTATATTCTATTCTACAGTAAGGAATGTAAATCATAATATCAAGATTAAGAAAAAAAATATTTTGATTTAATGGATTTCATGTCATAGTTAGGCTTTATTGATACACATCGATCTTAATTTATTATTATTTCGGATAATACATGAAAATATAGATTAAGAAGAATTTTTATAAAGTTAATTCGTATTTCTAAAAACTTTACAGAGGAATTGTTAATCCTTTATTCTTAATTTACAGAGCAATTTTTTACTCTTTCAGTTTGATTACAACAATACTTTGAAAAAATAAAGACCTAGTGTGATGCATATGGGAAAAAGGGAGGACAAATGGTAGAGATTTACAAAGTAATTTACAATATATTCTATATAGATTTAGATGATCCTTTGTTAAAATATTTGCAAAGTAATTTACATTAATAAGATTATTCGGTAGGTTTACTCGATTAATTCATTTCTTTTAAAGAACTTCTCTCGAGGTTTCCAAACAATATTCGATAGCGTAAGGAACACATCAACTACAAAGTGTGGATTATATTAGAAGGTGTAACCATAAAGTTGGTATTATATATTACGTTTTATTATACTATTGGACATTTGAATAAATCTTACATGTAATAGAATCTTTGTTGTCTTCAAAGGAATGAGAAGGATAACGACAAATTGGAAGAAACATAAAACGTACAGTAGTTTCCTACGGTTGGAGAAAATGCTTATTATAATTTTTAATAATGAGTTTTCACTCTTACAGAAGATCTTGATTGGTTGATTAATATACTTTGACGACAAAAAAAATATTTATATATACTTTTAACACTACTTTTGACCGTTAATTACTGTCAACGATTAAAGGATCAATTCTCAGGTTTGTTTCACATTGTCAAATTAAAACCAAACATTTACCAACTTTCTATTTATCTCGTTGACTATATAAACAGTCATATAAAATAAGGTTTTCATATAAATAGCAGCATATCGTATAAAAAATCATATGCTATATATGCCTATGTATTATACATTTGACATTGTCAACGCGTGTAGATATATAAGCCAGGGCTTAGAGTTCCCTTTAGTAATATTATTGTTACGCCGCATAGATATTACGTAACTTAGATAGTTGTTAATTTGTAATTCAGTGAATTCATTCTATATATATCGGTCAGTATCGAAAATAAACTATCTCTAATGATTTAATCCAAATCATAAAATCATCACATATACAAGCATTCTTGAATTCATTGAATCACTTCAAACTATGAATTCATAGATAATACAATACCTTTCAAAGTAACTATCGTATAAAACCTTTATTTTGACGTAGTAATATCATAATACTATTCTGTAAATGAAAGAAGATTACTTCCTTTTTCAGATTAAATCTTCTAATTTGATTTTTTAAAAAGCTTTCACATTAGTATATATATCAAATTCTCGTTTCTCTTTTGCTTTTAAAAATTAGAAGAATCATATATCAAATTCTAATTCTAAATTCATATGGTTCAATTTTTATTTTTGATAAATATGTGAATTTCGTTAAGATAATGAGATTGTTAATAAATATACCCAAAAAAAAAACTTAACAATAGACTATTCCTTGCCAAAAAGGATAAAGAAACATGGGAGAATCTAAATGCAACCGAGACGTATTTGGTTTTAGCCATGTATGAGCCAAATCTGCATAAGGTCACCGTAGTCTTTGTGTTTCCTTCGTCCCAGATTCACATCCCTGATCAAGCGATCTATAACCGTAGTCTTTATTTATTTATTTTTTGCTACCGAGCTCAAATTTTTATTGTGAAACTCCGTATGGGAAGGAGACTTCTCTTTTACTCAAAGAAAATGATCCGACTCTTATCAAGAAAAAGTATGTGTCAAATGCCAAAAAAGTTGGTGGATACTAAAAAAAAAAAACCTAGAACAATTCATGTTATTATGGTCCATAAAGTATGGTAAGATAGTTTGGGATAGCATTTGCGGCAGCTCTTATCTCACTTTCTTGACAATGCAGTATATAATTTGGTAGATGGGAAAAAATCTTGGAAAAATCCGTTACGCTAACCTTTAAAACTTAATTGAACGACCAAAGGTAATATTAAAATTAACACAATTGCATAAAGTATATCCATTTGCAAGAAGTTCTAAAGAGGTTGTCCTGTATTAAAGCGAAACATCCGTGATCGTGTCTCTTGGAGACGTATATGTTTGGTTATTTCCAGCAAAACAAACATTTATTGTCATATTATAAGGTGTCGTTATATAACGAATCCATATCTTAATTTTACAACACTAAAGTTATTTTTGGCCGATAATTAGTTAAATATTTTTAACGGAAATAATAAACATAACAGTTTAAAACGAGTTCCAAATGTGAATGCGCGTTTCTACACACAAACGTACATTTATTATTATCGCTATAAACTGTCAAATGAACACCACAATTCGAAGTAGTAGTATTAGCTAGGTGTTAAATTTCTATTTTTATTGTTTTCGTTGATGAAAGTTTGATAAATGTATATACACTCACAAATTTACTACTCCATTTTAAGTGTTTAAACTTAGTTTGTATAAATTTATTTGCCATAACCCAAAAAAACAATAAACCCTACTAAAAATTTGGTTCGGCTAAAACTAGTTTGGATTATTCAGTTCGAATGAAACTGAACTGGCTGCAAGAACAATTAACTCTGATTCGGTTTCGTTCTATTGTCTCTTTGGAAACAAAAGACATATGCTGGTTTTGGCGAAAATTTTACCATCAACTTTTTTTGGGTCAGAGAAAAAGACTCTTTAATTATAGAAAGCTAAAGGGAAAGTCGAAAGAGCCCACGACCCAAGGAAAATAAAGCTGTAAGTTACATATGCACTATTGAAACATTTTTAACAGAAACATTTTTTTTGCTGTTCAAAAAAAAAAAAACATTTTTAACAGTAAATAAGTGTGAAGCTTGGTTACACAAAAAAAAATAATTAAGTGTGAAGCTAAATTAAACGTTATATATTAGTACGTGTGTTCTATTTGACTATTTCTTTCAAAAACGGTTCAAAATTTCGGATAAAGTACATATGAATTCTTCAATATTGAACGTTAAAAATATTCATTCTTTTCAATACTCCCTCCGTTTCATAAAAAGTGTCGTTTTAAAGTTTTATTTTTTTTCACACAGAGTGTCGTTTTATATTTTCAATGCAGAATTTTAAACAATATTCCAGTTTTGATCTTATTAATTTAATCTATTAATTAGAAAAAAAATTATTTAATGCATTAATAAAGGGCAAAATAATATTTTAATAGTTTTTTTAAGAAGTGTGAAAAATGTCAGAATGACAGTCTTTATAAAACAGATGGAGTATTATTTTGGGAATTTTATCCGGTCGATACCCGACTGACGTACGGTGGCGTTTTACACATCTTACATGCAATAATTTTGCACTACCAACAACAACATTATACACGTCTTTCGACTAAATCCAAAAATAAGCAGATCTAACGGTAAAGTATTGTCTATCGGAAAAAAAAAAAAGTATTGTCTATTTCAGCTAAAACCTAAAGTTCAATCTGTTTTACAAAAACCGAAAGACATATTATCAGCTTCGATAACCCAACACATACCACAATTTTATTACACTGGAGTCAAATTCAGAAAACGAGTTTACACTTCACTTTGAGACTACTACCACAAAACCACCATTACTTTTCAATATTATTAAGATTTATAGAGGACTAGACTATTTTAAATGACCTAGGTGAGAATGTAGCTACGTACATGTGGTGATGATAATGATTCATGGCCCATGAACTCTTTCCCTTTTAAATTTTATAATAGTATAGATCTTCTTTTCTATCTTTCATAATAGAATAATTTCTTAAACGTATTATCGAATACGAAAAAGTTTATCAGAACCACTTGAAAACTATTAAATTAAACTAAAGTAACCCTGAAGTGTTGCACGCTGCATCTGTCTTTTATTACCTTTAACAAAAGAGAATCCATATTGATTTCCATTTTACATTATCTCTATATATTATAATCGTGTAAGAAATAAGCACATCCCACAAAAGCAAACTTTTTTTTTTCTTTGCGGGATTTCAAGGCCACTTCAAAAACTACAAGATTTTTTCTTAAAGATAAGTATATCTATTCAGTTATTAATTAAATCATATTTGCCTTCAAAATCCGACTTTTGTTGCCTCTTTCGAATTTTATTCAGTAATAGCAAAGTTTAGTTTATTACTTTTCTCCTCTATATATTTGTACAACCATTCCTCTTGTAACATATCTCCACAAATCCTTGACAAAGAACAATCGCTACTTTTTCTCTGGTCTCATTTTCTCCCCTACCCCAACTAAAATACATACATGTTTTGATTCTATTCGAATCAAGACCGACGTATAAGCCCTCGTTCATTCATAATTAGAGGTTTTGTACAATATACATATGTATTATATATGGGTTTATAATCGTGCCTGGCTCCCTGTATGCCACAAGTAAGCTCCGATTTCATAACAAAATCGATCACTAGTGGCATACAGAGTAGTCAAGCATGATCAAAGCATTTCTTGATATATAAGTACTTTTTGTCTTTAGAAGACAACATATTTATGCATGGATGGTGTCTATAAGCTTCCTGTTATATGCATGGATTATGTATAAGAGAATTTCTGTTTTATGAGACTCATAGTCAATATTTTCTTAACATCTTTTATTTTAGTAACAATTCATTCGTTTAACCATGTAGTATTAAGCAATTACTATATATTGCTAAGATGCAACCAGTTTGTAATAAATAAAAAATGCTAACGAGTTTGATATTCATGTTGATAGAAATTATCTGTGGCGGGAAAAAGTACGTTGAACAATGGTAAAACTTAACGGCAATAAGCCAATAACTAGAAATGCCCAAAAAAGTGCCAATTTATTATTTGTTTTATTACCTATTTTTATCGTTTTAGATCTTCCAAATTATAATAGAAATTGGTTTATGTATCACAATTTGAAAGAAAAATGACTCTATCTGTCACCAATTCAGTATCATATCTGTTAATCATCCCAAATTTTGCAAAAGTTGTAAATTACCATACTTGTTGTGTCACTAACTGTTCAAGTTTTCTCTATTCAGTTTGTCAAAATCTTGCAACACTAGCCTTAGCAGGTGGATACCCATTCAGGCCCTACCAGCTCCTCAAGAGGGTCTAAAGAAAAGAACTAACTGTTTTACCCAAAAAAAAAAAAAGTTAGAGATTCTTGACAAAGTGAAAGCCTCTCTTTAGTCTAGCGGGTTTGAAAGACAATGCATGCGATGCGTTGTACGTTGTCTTTTGTTGTGTGACAGAAGAAATGTAGAACACAACACACTTGTCTCACCTTTCATGCATTTGTCCTTCCCAAATCTCTCAACTTTATATATATTTTTAATGTGTTTCTTCCCTCAAAATCATCGACACTGATTAGATGATGTTTTAGAGGTATTTTTAGGTGTGTAAATATAAGAATCAATATATACTAACAACCTTTTTACAATGGAAATGGATCAATGAATAAGATGATAATTATTGGTAACTTTTTTTTGTCCAAATAATTAGTGGTAAGTTGACTGACTTTTTAATTGCCGGATTGCCATTTGCCTTGGGAAAAAAATGGCAGAAATAAATCTAAGGAAATGTTTTCTTTGGTGTAAAAAAGCTAGTAACTTGGCAAGTGACTCTCTTTTTGTCGTTAAAATTTTAAGAGTTTTCAAACATAAACAAAACAAACAATCAAAATGACCTTTTTCCAGATTTTGAAAAAAAAAATGCCATATAACATGAATAGACAACCATTTTGTTTATATTCCGCTATATTTTTCTGCGTTGCTTTAAAATGTGGTTGGAAACAAAAAAAGGAGATGATCCTAGTAAACAGAATAAATATATCTAATTCTATACTTGATAGAAAACAGAATAAATATAGATATATCGATGTAATTCACTTTTGTCGTGAAGCAACATAGGCAATTATAAGGTCACATGTCAATATACCATTTAAACGTGCCATCTGCCACATTCCGTGGCCAAAGCTCCACGCTATATATCATTCATTTATCAAATCGAGATTGATGAAAGATTTATTGTTTATATACATATTTTTTAAGAATATAATGTTTGATTATACTATAGGGTTAGTGCTATTTTCAATTTATATTTACAATCTGAACTCCACGACGGTTTACTAAAACTGTATATTTATTTTCATAGAGTGTGTACATCTAAGATATTTAATAATATAACTCAACAAATTTTCATACTTTGTATGAAAAAAGAAGAAAATATACTTATCAATTAAAAAAAAAATTGGACTATATCAGTACTACCCAATGTAATATAAAGTTAACATATCCTAAGCTTACACGAATTTTATTATAACTTGTACCACTATATGTTATGTTTTATGCGTAACAATCATAAAAAATTTCCTATAATACGGACAAAATTACACTCAACTATCATCATGTGTCTTCGAAACTAATGGAGGAGGTAACATGCATTATGAATGTTATAAAAGGTGGTCATGACTGATTTTTTTTATATTTATAATTCAAAAGATTAAAAAGACATTAAAAGACAAACAAACAAATAAAAGTGATAAGAATTAAAAGTTTAAAACATATGTAAATGCCTACCTTTAGTTTAAGCTTAACGGGGACGTGTTAGTTTTCCAATTCTGGTTTTTATTTATTTGTTTGTCTACTATCTATACTATCTAAATGGATATTTTACAAGGATTAGCTTTCTCTAAGCCTAGCATAGTTTTTAATATTTAAATAATTTTAATTTTTTATAATTATTCATGACATTTTAGTTCATGTATAATATAATATATACAATATACGGATATATAGAAAGGAGTATTTTTGTTATTTACATGTTACGTTAAAAGACCAAACAAAAAAATGAAGTATTAAATTTGTAATGAAAATTGAATTAAGTGTTCTATCTCAATTAAGCGCTTAATATCCTTATTTCATTGTCTAGTAAGTTTTTTTTTTTAATTTCCCAAAGTATATAAAATTAACAAATATACACCAAATTTTAATGATTAGGGTATACGACAAGCACGTCTATAATCTTAGGGATAAATTTGTAAACCCACGAAAACATGAGGCACAAAATGGTTTTTAAAGGTACAAGATTAATTTTGGTTTTTCTTCAATTAGATTGACACAAAACCAAACCAAATCCTTCAAAATCAAAATTCGAATATTCCTTTTATTTTTCCTGCTTCTTCGTCTCCTTCTTCAATCTTTCTCCGTCATTCAGATTTCAAGGAGACAGAGACAGGGAAGAGGATTCGTGAAAGCAAAAGGCGTTAAATCTCTTTCTTTATTTCCTTTCTTCTATCTCTCTCTCTCTTTTCAACCGGATCGATAGAGAAGGGAGATAACGAGAGATGGAGAGAGAAGGAGAAGCAACAATCGGCGTTGTTCCGGCAAAATCGGCGAATCCGAGATATTCTCTGAGCTTTTGGGAGGTCACGGCAGCTTCCGGCGTCGTTTTAGGGTTTCTAGTGGGACTTGTTTGCGTTTATCTCACAATGCCTCAATCTGATTACAGCTTCCTCAAGCTACCTCGTAATCTCGAAGACCTTCAGATTCTTAGGTGAATTTTATTGTCTCTATAATTGATTGTTTCTGGGTTTTTGGTAAAAATGCAACCTTTATGAGTTAGGATTCTGGAATTTATATACCTGAAGCTAAGCTAATCTCGTATTAGGTTTATTATTGCCAATATTAGAAATGCTGATTGAATATGAATCTTAAAACACAACTTGAAGAAAAAATCCTTCTGGGTTGATAGATTATCCGCAAATTTGATTACTTTCTTGAAACAGATTTGATGGTTTTGATTTTATTTTAACATTTTGAGCTTTTTCACCACACTGCAAGTAATGTGTCATTGATTGACTAAATCTGTGTGTTTGATGCGATTTTTCTGTTTTTGCAGAGATAATCTTGAGATTTACACAAGTGATTACACAGTTCAAGTTCTTGTTGGATATTGTCTGGTCTACGTGTTCATGCAGACATTCATGATTCCTGGAACAGTGTTCATGTCATTGCTTGCTGGTGCTCTCTTTGGAGTTTTCAAAGGAATGGCTCTTGTTGTCTCCACTGCAACAGCTGGTGCTTCCTCTTGCTATTTCCTCTCTAAGCTCATTGGTAGACCTTTAATCTTCTCGCTTTGGCCCGACAAACTAATTTTCTTCCAAGATCAGGTTTGAATAACAAGAAAAAGAAAATCTTTTGTCTCTTTTGCGGTATAAAGATTCTTGAAATCCTGAAGATTCTTACGCGGGTTTTGTGTGTTTAGGTTGCGAGAAGGAAAGATGGGTTGCTGAACTATATGCTGTTCTTGAGACTAACACCAACATTGCCTAACACTTTCATTAATGTTGCTTCCCCAATTGTTGATGTTCCTTACCATATCTTCTTCCTCGCTACATTCATCGGTCTGATTCCTGCTGCATATGTCACTGTCCGGGTAATGAGAATTTCAAGGTTTTTTTTTTTTTTTTTTTTTTGTCATCCGCCTAAGTCCCTACGAGGACATAGAAGTCCAGTTTGGAGGTACTGAGTTTACATAGATCATGTCTTGAGGGTAGACTCGAACACTGCGTGCTAGGAGATCTGCCTTCATATTATTCGCTCGTGGAATAAGGGAGATAGCAAGGTTTTTTCTTTTTATCTTACTGTTTCAATGAGTAAGAATGTTTTCCAATTGAAGTGTATTTGGTTTTGTTGTGGCACAGGCTGGGATTGCTCTTGGAGAGTTACAGTCATTAGGAGATCTCTACGATTTCAGCTCGATGGCAACTCTGTTTCTCATCGGTGTGCTCTCTGTGACTCCAACCCTGATTAGCAAGAAAAAGGCGTAGAAGAAGAAGAAGATCAATGGAAACATAAGACAAAGCCTTCTCATGCATATGATGATGACGATGATGATGATGAGAGGCATTTCAAATGCCTCCTTGTGTACATATGTCATTTAGAATGTATTAGGACCAATTTCAAAACCCACCTGTTCTCTACATGCTTTTTTTTTTTTTTTTTTTTTGTAACTCAAAATGTACTAGAATAATACATCTCAAACGGGTTTCATGGGCCTTTTGACAATATGTTTCTGGGCCTAGTTTGTAACCAAAATTATCCATAAAACTTACCTGAAGCTAAATTTTCTTTGCTTGGGTCTCAAACCGATTCTAATGATGAATGACCTAACTAATTAAAGCTTATACTAGGCTTATAATATGAAGTTGTGTGAATAAATACTTACCGCAAGCGTGAGAAGACATCGATCGAAGTTTACATTGCGTTCACTTGAATACAAATTGCTCATATGTGTATGACATCGATTTTGGTTCGGTTTAAATCGGTTTGAAACCATTTATCCCAATAAAATTTTAATTGGAAATTATGATAACGCTATCATACAAGTGAAGGAGTTATTTGCTATTATGCATTGTGATTTACTCACCGTATCTGATTTCTAAGGTGAATAATTATGTACGTTTCAACTTTAATATTGATATAGCGAACTACTTTCAATTATCTAGGGCCATTGTTCTCGAATCTCGATTGAGGTGAAAATGAATGTGCATGTCTAGAAGACGGTCATGATGTCCCATGTACTTTTTATTTATATCACTTTTGTGCAATACTACATATCTTTCCTTGTGGCTATAACAATGTGAATATTTTATCTAATTGTTGTAACTAACTCAAATGTAACCAAATGGGTTTCGAAGGTTTTGGCAATAAGTTTATGGGCGCTGTTTCCATAAGTATTCTCCACTAGCCAATCTCATGCTTCTTTTGCTTGGCCTTTGATGATAAACGACAAATGAAAAGGTGAACATGTCTAAACATTTAACGTATAACAATGTAATCTCATTATGGATTTTGTTTTTGCTAGATCGGTCGGAGCCAAAATGACTGGGTGATTAAGCCAAGCGAACAAATACATCATCAAGCCTATCTAGGAACGGCTGTCAGAAACAAAAAAAAATAAAAAAAAATTATAAATTGGAATAAAAACGAAGACATGATGTTCGAGTTACAGTTTCACATGGAAATATAACGCGAGAGGAATTTGGACTGTTGTTTTTATCGTTAAGTGGTTGAAGCCAATGTGAAGATGTTTTTTTTTTTAAGGAAATGAGAACATGTTTGCCGGCGAAAGAAAGACGTTACATGGATAAACGTTTGAGAAATCTGCAGAAATATCAATCTAAGAAAAGTATACATATATAGACGAACATTACAATAGCAAATTAATATCAGAATATATCATTTTTGTTTCATTAACTTATTAGATTCATCAATCTAGTCATACTACTGTCCAAAGCAAAAAATTCAACTTATCAATTTCGTATCTTATTAAACAGAAAATAATTTTATAATCGTAATTTTGTTTTGGACAGCAAAACGTTATAGTTATATATTAGTAAAAATATTTCATAAGAAGACATACTTGAATAACATTTAAAATAAAATTAATCATAAACAAAAACGTAAAAAATATAGAACATAAAGTAAGAATAGAAACGACAAATTTCGCATAGATATCTTTTTTGCGATGATGAAGAGTTCTATATCTAAAACAAAATACTTCCTACAACTGATTTTGGATTTCCTATATGAAAATCGACGAGTTGAATTCTGAGGTGTTCTCCGATACCATAGAGTATCTACACGTTGTTGGAATTGACACGCTTTATTCTTCTTCTCAAGCTACCACACTCAATATTGTTGTCAAGTTTCTATTATGAAGAAGTATATACGCAACAAAATAAATAACTATTGTTGAGTGAAATAAATAACTAGTTTAGTATTGCCCCAGAAAAACAAAAAAATATAAAAATCTAAGAAATGAGAGATCATATTATCATTGATGGAAGGCCATCATAATAACTGTCAAAGGAATCTTTACGGTTGAAAAGAAGTCCTTTAATACTGGCAAAATCATATTATCAAAATTAGGAATCTCAATGGAAATTTTTATGGTTCAAGTCCACTCTTAATGGAACTAGAATTTGACAAGAATTTTTTAAAGAGGAAATTAAGGAAATGAAACTAAGCCTATAAAAACTATATTTTCGATGCTTTTTTGTGATAGCGATCGAAATTATTACCATTGTTTTTAAAACCAGATCTTCCTAATGCTAGACTTGTTATGCAGTGGCCATTAGCAATTAGCAAAGTCTCTAGACAGCGTGTTACTGGTTCCGACTGGTTAATTATAACCAAAATACGTCAATTAATCAACTATATTTATCTATCATTTTGTTGAATTATACAGTAAAATATACTATATTGTATGTTCTATTTTCTGGCTCAAATATTCAACTAGTTAGTAGAAGTTTTACCATTTCGTGAAATGATATTCAAAAAGAAATTTCAATTGAACTCTCTCAAGTGACTTTGTAAATATATATAAACCATTAGCAAGATCAAAACTTTAGGGAATGATTCCTACATTAACCATTCTATGTAATTTAAAAAAGAGGTTGAGAAAATGTTTGTATTATCATATTTTTCATCTCTAATTACAACTACAGACTAGTTGTATGTATTATTAGCCGCTGACATCAAATACATATAGATACATGTTACGTTTAATATCATATTGCTCGTAAATCAGTTAAAGGAGGAATATAAAAATGAGTTAGAAGGTAGCATAACTAAGGGAGACTTTTCAGAGAACATAATTTCCAAATAACAAAAGCTCAATTGAATAATCAAAAGGAAATTCTCATACAGATAAGCATCACAGCACATCGGTTTAATAACTTAATAAGTCTGCTTCCAATACGAGATTCCCATAAAATCATTAACATTTTAGTTAGATTATTATAAGCCTATGAACCTGATATTAAAATTTTCAACTAACCACGAAGAAAAAAACAATCATCACCCGTACAATTTTCATCCACCCTTATGGGGAAACACGCATTATTATATAATTAAAGAGATTATGAAAATATATAATGAACCAAAAAAATCATATAATAGTAATTTGTCATACTGCGCGCATCCAAGAACTAAAATATACAAATCAACATCTTATAGAATCCAGATTATCTTTCACTAGAGTATGTTTTCTCCATCCAAAGACGTATATATATATATATATATATATATATATAGACATATAATAAAACCTAAAACATGACATTACGACTCCAGTAAAAATATGAAAATTATAAGACAAAATAATTACGAATAGGTTTCATTGTTCAATTCCTCCAGATTATTGATCAAAACAGAATTGGTAATATTTACTATATATATGCATGCTAGGGCTTAAAAAATTTGAAAACCAATGTTGAATTGACACCAAATGATAGACACACCTTTGATGTGTGTATATTTATCACCATGCCACACACATACAAAATCATATGTATACATATATATATATATATAAGCCATATAGGAGCAACTCAGAAAATATCCATTAAGCAATATTTTTTGTTATAGTAGTGTCACATTGTTCTATTGGAGAACAAAAAAAATTGGAAAATAAATATTTTAGTCGTAGATTCTATCAACAAATCCCCTAAAATTTATCTGTTTTGATCTTAATCATTGCACTGACAAAAACACAAAAGAACCTGGATTTAAACTACACATCAGCAAAACCTATTTGTAGAAATTTAATTCATAACCGATAACCTCTAATCAAAATTTAAATTTAAAGACTGTATATGAAGTGGTAAAAGATAAGATTTGAGAATTTTTTTCATCGCAGACGAACACAAATAGAGTTTCACAGTAAAAGAAAGAGAAGAGAGGATTAAAACACATAATTCTACAAAACGCAAAAGAAAAGAAAGAAAAACCTAAGCTTAACATGATGAACAAGATAATGTCCGAAATCACGATGATAATTTGAATTTCATTGAAAAACTTCTCTAACCTTTTCTTCACTCTCGCAAATTCTTCGCCGGAAAAGCTCCTCCGCCGGTATATATATAATGATTATCAATATATACACATCAGAAAGGACCTCTTCCACCGGAATTCCCCGGCCAACCTTCCACCGGAAGTTGCACATTTGGTTGCATATTTATCGGTAAATTAAAGAACGGAAGTCCTCCTCCTCCTCCTCCGGCAGCAACCTCCGGAAACAAATTACCTCCTCCGTTAGATCCTCCTCCTCCTCCTCCGAGATGTTGTTGCTCATCTTCTTCCAAAGGAAGTCTCTCATAAGCAACATTAGTAAACGAAGCAGCGATTACAATCACAGGTCCAGCGGCCGTAAGCTCACCGACGACGCTTCCTCCGACGACCTGACCTTGTCCTCCGGCCAAGAATATAGTCAAACTCGTAGCTCCGGGAGGAGCAGGAGGAGGAAGAAAGGATCCGGAGAGAGAAAGAATCTCGAACGTTCCTGGTAGAGTCACAACCGCTCCAGCCGCAGATGGCTGACGTATGCTGACGTTAGTCACCGTTCCGCTACCGCTCAGAACGCAGATCCCTCGCTGTCTTCGACGAGCGTAAGTCGCAACGCAGTCGAAAACGTCGCAACCATTTGTTACTTCAAGAATGTGAGCTCTAAGAGTGTTTGCGCTCTCGCGCGTGATTATCACCGGAGGTTTCGGTTTGTTTTTGGATCCAGGTGGTCTGCCACGTCGACGACGTCCAACGACGTCTCCGCCTCCTCCTCCGTGACCTCCTCCTCCTCCTGAGCTACCTGATCCTCCACCGGAGGCTAAGTCAAGACCTTGATGGTTGTTGTTGTTGTTGTCTTCGTCGTCGACGGTGAAATGACCGATTCCGGCGCCGGGAGTGACGTCATCGGATGAGGAATTGTGGTGAAGGTGGAGATCGGGACGATGGAGCTGGTGATTAACGTAACGGAAAGCTGTGCCTAGATCAAGACCAGCCATGCCCACATCAAAAGCAAAGGAGAGATTTTAATTTGCAAAAAAGAAAAAAAAACTATATAAAAACACACACACACACACAACAAGATTAAAATAAAGCTTTGTAGATTTTCTATGATTTTTTTCCTTAAAAACAAAATTTAAAACTAGAAAATAATGAAAGAGGATTGTGAAGAAGTTATAGGAAGACGAAAATGGTAGG